ATTCTGTTGTCCTGCAATGCATAGAAAGGTTTCTCAAAGACCACTATTTTATTGTTCAAACTATTGACGTAGACTACAAGTGACAGAGAACTCTTTTGGGAACCACGTTTGGTTTGGGGGAGCAGGGTCCCTGCTCTCCTACCTGTCTTTGATGTTCTTTACCTTCTAAATATTCTGCTAGTGGAAATTCACTTCCCCACTCTGCCCCTTGTCCAGAGAAGGAGGAGTCCTCTTCCCAGGGCCTCTGTGTCATTTCCTCCTCTCCTCTCCAGCTGTCCTGACCACGCCTCCCCACCCTGGGCTCCTATGACTGCATTCCTCTGGAACTTGCTTATAAGCCATCCCCACTCCCACCATTTCCCTTTCCCAAACAGGCCATCATAATCCAGCATACACATGTGAGAGCAACAGAAAGTTTATGACAAAATGATGCATAGTTTTTACCCCAGGTCCTTGTGCACTTCTCCAGGTCTTGGGTGGATAGAAACTCAGGGAGGCAGTTGGGTCTCAAGATTCCAAGGGTCTGAGATCTAACGGTGATAGTTCTAATGAAACTGTCCTACCCACCATGAGACCCGTTCCTTATAAGGGAAATGACTGATGAGCCCAACTGTCTCACTTTGACTACTGATCCTACCATTCACATTTCCATTGATGTGTATGAGACAAAGAACAGAGCTTTTTCATGTGGTTTATTTTTGTTTCATCCAAAAGAGGACCCTAAGGAAAGGTCAGTGTTTAAATCCCAGGGTCACTTTGAAATGATCTCCAGGAAAGAAAGGCACAGGAGGGTGAAGGGCTTTGGATGGACTTTGAGGATCAAAACTTGGGACAGAAGGAGAAAGGACCTGAGAGACTTTTGAGACAGAGCCTCAAGCTGTCTCCCTGGGTAGAGAGCTATGGGATCACAGCTCACAGCAACCTCCAACTCCTGGGCTCAAGTGATTCTCCTGCCTCTGGCTCCCAAGTAGTTGAGACTACAGGTGCTCGCCACAATGCCTGGCTATTTTTTGGTTGTAGCCATCATTGTTGTTTGGCAGGCCCGGGCTGGATTCGAACCTTCCAGCTCAGGTGTATGTGGCTGACGCCTTAGTCACTTGAGCCACAGGCACTGAGCCAATCTGAGAAACTTTATTCTGCCATCTTGCCATCTATGTTGGTCAACCCTTAAGAAGCTGCTGACACTGAGAGAGTCCCCTGAAAGCAGGAAGAGAGCTGCTGATATGGATTTCTCATTAGTCATATATTTTCAGTGCTAGATAAAAGGGTGGGAAGAAGTACCCTTTTTACCCAAGTGTATTAGTTATCTATGGCCATGTAACAAATTAGCATAAACTTAGTGGCTTAAGATAATACCTGTTTATTATCTCACAGCTTCCATGGGTCAAGAGTCTGGGCATGAGTCCTTCGTTCAGGGTCTTAGAGGTGACAGTCAAGGCATTGGCCAAGTTGCATTCTTTTCCGGAGTTCAGGCTCCTCTTCTACGCTCATGTGGTTGTTGGAAGAATTCAGTTCCTTATGGCTGCAGGACTGACCTATGGCTCCTAGGTCCTTTCCACCTGGCCCCCTACATAGGCAATTTGCATCATGGCTGTTTATTTTTCAAGGTCAGCAGAAGATATCTGCTAAGACATAGTCTCATGTAGCATAATCTGCTGGGGGTGTAAGGGGACTTCCCATCACCGTTGCCATATTCTGATGGTTAGAAGAAAGTGACGGGTTTCATGCACAATTGAGAGGGGTTTATACAAAGGTGTTTATACAAGGGTCTTCACAGGGTGTGTTGGCACACTAAATATTTCTCAAATTTTGTTTCTCTCAAAAGAGCTTGAGAAAGAGATGGCAGAAGTGATGGCAGAAACAGCAGTAGACTCAAATGAAGACATGTCAGAGGAAACAGGGGACCTGGACCCTATTGAGCCAGTTGACAATGGTAAGGAAGTGACCCACATCCCTGCATTGCTGCTCCGTCTCGGCTGCTAACTCCTTGAATTCAGTTCCAGTCTGTCTCATTTCTCCATCTGCACAGTGGACATTGTGTCCCAGGTGAAGCTAGAAGTGTGGAGATGTAGCAAAGGCCAGGAGTACATGTGGCACCCCTGTAATGGTCATTTTGACACCACCCCTGAGCCATCTTTGTTTTAGGTACCTTCCAACAAGTCACAAATCTCCTGGACATTATTGACAGTGAGTCATCAAAGATAGACACAGCAGGGGCAAATCTTGACATGCGGAAGACCCTGGCCTCAGTGATAATCACAGAAAAGGCCACCATCAAGCCTTTAGTGGTGATGAATGCTCTAATTCATTGCCTGCAGGTGCCAGAGGTAAGACTACCTCACCCTTGGAACCACCCTCTGGACCCAGCCACTTTCCACTGTTTGTGTGCCCCTCTGTTACTCAGCACAAATTTATTGACATAGTGCTTGGTGCTGGGACACAGTGATGGGCAAGTCTATGAAGTGCTTATTCCTTGAGGACCATTAGGGTCTGAGGCTTTCAGAAGTTTTAAAATCTCTTGGATTCTGACGTAGAGGGTTTGGGAGCCATTGTCCTAGACCATATGAGCTGAGTTACAAGGATGTTGAACCAGGTGGGCAAGGGAGAGATGACACACCAGATGCAGGGCACAGGCCAATGGTGAGATGTATAGCAAGGGTAAGAGACTGGGGAAAAGGATGTTGGAGGGAGTGATGCAAAGTGCAGCCAGAGGCCATAAAGGGCTTGGATGACAGTTTGGGCCAGAGCATCAGAATCTTTTAGAGGGGTTGTTAAAACACAGATTTAAATTCCCCAAGAGTTTCTAATTCAGTAGATCTGGGTGGGGCCTGAGAACCAGCATTTCTAACGTGTTTCCAGGTGATGCTGTTGCTGCTGGTCCAGAGACCATGCTTTGAGAACTGCTAGATCTTAGCCTATGCTTAGTCAGGGGGGTAGGTAATAAAGGAGTTCTGTAGGCAGAAGAGATTTTCTACAGAAATCTTTATTTTTTTTTTCATTTCATTTTATTTTTTTCCCTTTTCCTTTTAGTTGACATATAGTAATTGTACATATTTATGGATGTGGAGTGATAGTTCAGAACATGTATATAATGTATAATGATCAAATCAGAGAAATTAGCATACCCATCACTGCAAACATTTATCATTTCTTTGTGTTGGAAGCATTCATAATTCTCTCTTCTAGCTTTTTGAAAATACACAGTATATTGTTGTTAACTATATATTGTTGACTATCCAATGGTCCTGTAACAAACTTGTCAACATATGAAAGTGGTCAGCATAAGGAACTAGGCCTATTGTACTAACACGTAAATGTGGTTCATGTCCAGTCTATGAAAATTAGGTCAACTGAAGAGGTGGACAGCTATGGAGGTTCTACTATATTTTCACTCTACAGTGTAGAGAGCTGTAGAACTTACTCCTTTTTAGTTGCAATTCTCTGTTAACCAACATCTCCCTATGCTCCCTCCCCCTACCCTTCCTGTACTCTAAGAACCATAATTCTCACATTCTGTCCCCACATATGAGAACATGCAGTATTTATCTATCTATGCCTGGCTCATTTCATTTAATATAATATCCTCCGGGCTTATTTATGTTGCATGAATGACATGATTTCATTTTTTAATAACTGACTAATATTCCACTGTGTGTATACACCACATTTTCTTTATGCACTCAACTGTTGGTGGACATTTAGGTTGATTCTATGTCTGGGCTATAGAGAATAGTGCTGTAATAAACATGGAAACACACACACTGATGTATATGTGTATCTAATATACTGTTTTTCTTTCCTTTGGGTGAATACCACAGCAGTGGGTTGTTGGGTTATGTGGTAGTTCTATTTTTAGTTTGTTGAGAAACCTCTGTACTGTTTTCTGTGATGGCTATACTAATCTACAGTTCCATCCACAGTGTATGGAGAGTTCTCTTTTCTCTGCATCTTCACCAGTATTTACTATTTTTGTCCTTATGATAAAAGCCATCCTAATTATCTTGTTTTGATCTGCATTTCCTTGCATGTCTTGGATATTACTCTGTTGTTGGATGCATAGTTTGGAAATATTTTCTCCTGTTCTACAGGCTGTCTCTTCATTGTGTTGATTGTGTCCTTTGCTGTGCAGAAGCGTTTTATTTTAATATAGTCCCATTTGTTTATTTATTTGTTGCCTGTACTTTCAAAGACATAAAATATTTGTCTAGAGCAAAGTCCTAAAGCCTTTTAACTAATTTTTTCTTCTAGTAGTTTTATAGTTTGGAATCTTACATTTAAGTCCTTTTTTTTTTCTTTTTTTGAGACAGAGTCTCACTTTGCCATTCTTGGTAGCGTGCCATGGCATCATAGCTCACAGAAACCTCAAACTCTTGGACTCAAGTGATTCTCTTGCCTGAGCCTCCCAAGTAGCTGGGACTACAGGCACCCACCACAGCACCTGACTATTCTTTTAGAGATGAGGTCTTGCTCTTGGCTTAGGCCAGTCTCAAACTCCTGAGCTCAGGCAATCCATGTGCCTCTGCCTCTCAAAGTGCTAGAATTATAGGCATGAGCCACCACACCTGGCCACATTTAAGTCAATAATTCATTTTGAGTTGAGTTTTGTATATGATGAGATATAGGGGTTTAGTTTTGTTCTTCTACATATGGATATCCAGTTTTCCCAGAAGTATTTATTGAAGAGAGTATCCTTTTTCAATGTATGTTCTTGGTGGCTTTGTAAAAAATAAGTTGACTGTAAATGTGTGTATTATTTCAGGATTTTATGTTCTGATTCGGAAATTCTGTTCATGTCTACATTCATGCTAGTACTGGGCTGTTTTGATTACTATAGCTTTGTAGTGTATTTTGAAGTCAGGTAACATGATGCCATCAGCTTTGTTCTTGTTCAGTTTTACTTTGGCTATTCAGAGACTTTTGTATTTTCCTATAAATTTTGATTTTTCTTTCTTCATCTATTCAGAGTGATATTAGCATTTTTTTTTTTTTTGAGACAGAGCCTTAAGCTATCCCCCTGGGTAGAGTGCTGTGGCATAGCTCACAGAAACCTCCAACTCCTGGGCTCAAGCAAGTCTTCTGGCTCAGCCTCCCAAGTAGCTGGGACCACAGGCGCCCGCCACAATGCCTGGCTATTTTTTTTTTGGTTGCAGCCATCATTGTTGTTTGGCAGGCCCGGGCTGGATTCGAACCTGCCACCTTAGGTGTATGTGGCTGGTGCCTAAGCCTCTTGAGGCACAGGCGCAGAGCCAATATTAGCATTTTGATAGTTATTGCATTTAATCTATACTTTGGTTTGAGTAGTACAATCATTTTATAACAATATTAGTTTTTAAGACATAAGCATATATTTCCATTGTTTTGTGTTCTTTTCAATTTATTTTATCAGTGTTTTATAGTTTTCCTTGTAAAGATCATTTACTTATTTGGTTAAATTTATTCCTAGGTATTTTGTACTTCTTGTAGCTTTTGTAAATAGAATTGTGTTCTTAATTTCTTTTTTAGCTAGTTTATTATTAGTGTATAGAAACATTACTGATTTTGTATATTGACTTTTTATTCTGCAGTTTTACTGAATTTGTTTATTAGTTCTAAGAATATTTTTGCAGAGTTTTTAGGTTTTTCCATACATAAGATCATGTTATTTGCAAAGAGGGACAAACTGGCTTCCTCTTTTCAAATCTGGATGCCGTGCTTCTTTTTCTTGTCTAATTCCTATAGCTAGAATTTCTAGTACTATGTTGAATGTAAGTGGTGAAAATAGGCATCCTTTTCTTGTTTCAGTTTTTAAAGGAAAAGCTTTTAGCTTTCCCCCACTAAGTATGATGTTAGTGATGGGTTTGTCTATATGGCCTTTATTGTATTGAGGTATTTTCCTTCTACACCTAACATGGTGAGATTTTTTTTATCATGAAGAAATGTTTAAGTTTATTAAATACCTTTCTGCATCTACTGAAATGATCATATGGTTTTAGTTCTTCATTCTGTTGGTGTGATATATCACCTTTATTGGTTTTGCCTGTGTCAGACCATCCTTGCATTCCTAGGAGTCATCATTTGATCAAGACATACCTGTATTATTATTTTCATGTGCTATTAAATCCAGTTTGCTAGGATTTCATTGGGGATTTTTTGAATCTATTTTCATCAGGGTTATTGGTCTGTATTGTTGTTTCCTTTCAGTTTTTGACATAAGGGTAATACCGGCCTTTTAAAATAAATTAGAAAAATTCATCTCTGCTTTGATTTTTTGTAATAGTTTGAGAAGAGCTAATGTTATTTATTTAAAAGTTTTGTAGGATTCCACAGTAAAGCCGCCATCTGGTTCTGAGGTTCTCTTTTTAGAGAGAATTTTTATTACTGATTCAATCTCATTACTCATTATTGGTCTGTTTAGATTTTCTATTTCTTTTTAGTTCAATTTTGATAGATTTTATATGTGTCCAGAAATTTACCTGTTTCCTCTAAGTTTTCCAATTTGTCATACAGTTTTTCATAATAGTCTAAAATGACCCTTTGTATTTTAGTAGTCTCAGTTATAATGTCTCCTTTATTGTTTCTGACTTTATTTAGTTGGGTCTTCTCCCTTTTGTTCTTAATGAGTCTGATTAATGGTTTGCCAGTTTTGTTTATCTTTTTTAAAAAATAAGTTTTAATTTCATTGATTTTTTTTTGGTAATTTTTTTGTTTCTATTTTGTTTAGTTCTGCTCTGATCTATAATGTCTTTTTCTTTCTTCTGATTTTGGGTTGGTTTGTTCTTCCTCCTCTAGTTCCTTGAAGTGCTTTGTTAGCTTGTTTATTTAAAATCTTTGTCCTTTTTTGACATAGACATGTATTGCCATAAATTTCCCCCTTCATACTACTTTTATTGTATACCATACGTTTTTGTTATGTTGTGTTTCTATTTTCATTTGTTTAAAAAAATTTTAAGTTTTTTTTAAGTTCCTCACAGATTCATTGGCTTTTCAGGAATATGCTATTTAATATTCATGTATTTGTACAATTTCAAATGTTACTCTTATTAGTAATTCTTATTTTTATTTCATTGTAGTCTGAGAAGAAACTTGATATAATTTTGAGTTTTAAAAACTTGTTGAGGTTTGTTTTGTGGCCTAACATATGGTCTATCCTGGAAAATGCTCTGTGTGCTGATGAAAAGAAGGTGTATTTTACAGTTGTTAGATGAATTTTTTATAAATGTAAGTTAGTTCATTTGGTCTATAGTGCAATTAAGTCCAATGTTTCTTATTTGATTTTGCCTTTAAAAGTTCTGTCCAGTGCTTAAAATAGGATTTTGAAGTCCTCAACTGTTATTATAATGAGGTTTTTCTCTTTTTATCTCTGATGATATTTGTTTTGTACATATGTTTAGGTGGTCTAGTTTTGGGTGCATACACATTTACAAATGTCGTATTTTCTTATGGAATTAATCTCCTTGTCATTATATATTTTTTATGTTTTTGGATTTATTGTCCATTTTGTCTGATTTAAGTATAGCTATTCCTGCATACTTCTGTTTTTTACATGTATGGTAGATTTTCTACCATACATTCAGTCTATATGTGTGTCTTTACAAGGGAAGCAAGTGATTTTGTAGGTAGCATATAGTTGGGTCTCATTTTTGGTAATCCGTTCAGTCAGGCTGTATATTTTAATTGAGGAATTTAAACTGTTTATACATTTAAGGTTATTATTGATAGTTAAGGACTGACTTCTGTCATCCTGTTTTCTAATTGTTTTGTGTATCCTTTGTTCCTTAATTCCTCCCTTGTTATTTATCTTTGTGGCTTAGAGGTTTTCTGTAGTGATAACATTTAATGCCTTTCTCTTTCTCATTAATGTACCTGCTCTACCAGTCATATACTTTCATGTTTTTTTATCATGGTATATTATTTTTTTACTTCCTATTGTGGGACTCCCTTAGCATTTCTTTAGGGCCATTCTGCTGGTGAAGAATTACCTCAGCTTTCGTGTGTCTGCAAAAGATTTTACTTTTCTTTCATTTCTGAAGGATATCTTTGTTGAGTATAGTATTCTTGGCCAGCTAGTTCTTTTTCCCCCTTTCAGCACTTTGAATATATCATCCTATTCTCTCCTATCCCATAAGATTTCTGTTGAGAAATCTGTGTTAGTCTGATAAGTATTATCTTATATGTGACTTAATGCTTTTCCCTTGTTTTCAGAATTTTCTCATTGTCTTTGAATTTTGACAATTAAAAAAGCTTCAGAGAGGGCCTTTTGGGATAGAATCTAGTTGATCATCTTTGAGCTTTCTATATCTGTGTGTCCATTTCTCTTTCAAGACTTGAGATGTTAAAGAAAAGAAGACAAGATATAGACAAGTTTTCAGGTATTATTTTATAAAATAAGTTTTATTTTATTTTTATTTTTTGAGACAGAGTCTCACTATGTCACCCTTAGTAGAGTAAGATGGTGTCACAGCTCACAGCAACCTCAAACTCTTGGGATTAAGCAATTCTCTTGCCTCAGCCTCCCAAGTAGCTGAGACTACAGGCACACACCACAATGCCTGGCTATTTTGTTGTTGTTGTCATTGTTGTTTAGCAGGCCTGGGCCAGTTTCTAACCTGCCAGCCCCAGTGTATGCGGCCAGTGCCCTAACCACTGAGCTATGGGCACTGAGCCCATGAAATAAGTTTTATATATTTCTCCCTGTCTCTTCTCCTTCTCTAACTCCCCAAATGGTTCTTCTTTAGAAAACTTTATTTGATAGAAAAATATATGGCAGCCATGAGGAAGGTGCGCTGGATATGTGGGCCATAAGCAAAGAGTTTTCAATATAGGATGTTTTTAAATGAAGCTTTTGTTCAGATATGGTGAGGATACTGCCCAGGAGATGCTTAATTGTAAAAGTTAATTTGTTACCACAGTTCCCAAAAGGAGGGCAGTGCCATCCCAGGAAGGGCCATTGTGTCTGGACACAGAGGGAACAAGGGAAAATTATGGGCCAAAGTCTTTATTATGGTTTCTATGGGAGGGAACAAGTGAGGCAAGATAAGAAGGCTTAGGATTGGTTCATTCAAATAACTTCAGTGGGCTCTGGGACATAGTAGCTGTCCCTAGTGTTACAGTACCTGGCCTGGGTTATTAAGGGAAGGTAGATAGTGGCCCTGAGTGTCAGAGCCCAATAAAGGAGGTAATTGGGAGGTGGGCTCTGGGTTGGTTGGTGTATTTTTCTGTTCAGGGTGCTATATGGAATACCATAGACTGGTTTATTTAAACAATAGAAATTTATTTTCTCATAGTTCTGGAGGCTGGAAGTCTATGATCAAGGTGCCAACTACCTGGGTTTCTGCTGAGGGCTCTCTTCTTTGCTTGCAGACAGCTTCTCTTTCACCTGGCTTTTCTTTTGTGCATGCACAAAGCTCTCTTGGAACTCCTCCTTTTATAAGGACATCAGTCCCATCAGATTAGGATCTCACCATTAAGACTTCATTTAACTGTAATAACCTTCCAAAGTCCCCCTCTTCAAACACCATCCCAGTGGAGACTAGTGCTTCAAATACAGATTGTAAGGGAACACATTCAATCTATAATACTTGTTTCATGTTTGAAAATCACATTTGTTTACTTTCTCTGGGAGTTGGCTAGCTCTGGGAAGGGCAGTCTCTCCAGGGTCAGCAAGGCCCCAGATGTCAATGCATCAGGAAATGCAGAAAAGAAAAAATATATAATTAATACACAGGCCTTAATCAGTGATCAATGTCAATAAACAGACAATAAACAAGTAGGCATATTTAAAAAATTACCATACATCAAATATAGGAACCAGTAAGATAGATACCTATAGATATTTGTATTCTTTACCAGAAAAAAAAATCCATTTACATACTGCAGACAGACAGAATCATTTTTATTGCTAGGGAGGGAGCATTTGTATTGTTATCAGTTTTCTAGACCTTAACTTCTTCTCCTACAGAGCTGTAAAATAGTCCAGGGCAATCAAAGGCAATGAAGGATGTTCACCCCATGGCATCCAGTAATCCCAAAGCATTCTCCAGTCAGCACCAAACACTGCTCTGGAAGGCCATTCCATGATCATTTTTACTGGTTTCTAAGTCTTTGACAGTTTTTCTCTCCTGACTATAAATATTCTCCAAAGACTATTCTTGATCATAGAAAGGCTGGTTGTAGTATAATTTTTCATGCAGCAAGAGTGTTAATTAAGGATTCAGGCCTCCTTGAGGTTCCTTTGAACGAATTCAAGAGCATGTGTTCTCAATGGGGTGATATCACCCCCAAGTGGGAAAACTGGGAGGACAAAGAAAATTTTAGTTTTTTTAATTTAAAAAACAGACACAGCACATTAAAACAGAGATGTACAAATTCCCGCCCCCACCTCCACTGCACATTGGAAGAATAAAATTGTCTTGGGCTACACATTAAATATACAAACACTAACAAAAGCTGATTAGCAGGGAAAAAAAAAGGTCCATGCATATATTTTGTGATCTGACACTACCAATAAGCAAGAAGAAAAAAACAAATCCTAACAAAATCAGCATGTGGCCCACAGGCCACAGATTCGACACCCCTCACTCATCAATACATAGATAGCTCATCTGTGAATTAAAATTTCATGGGCATTGATTAGGAAAAAATGTCTAAAAAGGTTCATTAGGGACAACAGTAAAAATGAAAGCAACAGTGAAAATAGTTGAGAAATACTGGTCTTAAGCCATGCAGAATTGATCAGCTACTAAGGCCATGCAATTAATTTATGCCCATGAGTTATCATAAGAAATCTCTGGAGTTTTACAAACCACTAGTATGTGCTATTTCAAAACTAGGAAACCAAGGCTAAGATTCCTTCTACTGAATTTCACTGGAACTTACAAATTCTTCTCAAGGTCCTCAAATTTGCTAAAGTTTATGGACTGTTAGAAAGCGACCTTCTCCCCCACTTGAGGTTGAGGCCATTTTCACCAGGGCTTTGTAGGCAGTGGCCTCACGTAGTAGGAAGTCCACCCTCATTCCTTCAGTGTGCTTGCCCTGCCTGATTAAACAAGGCATTCTTAAATACTATTCTCCAGGTGTAGAGGGGGCATGAAGTACATCTGTCTAATTCATCCCAAACCAGGTTACTGTAAGTGGTAATAAGTGCTACTGATGTAGGAATGAAAAGAGGATGAGAGGCAAATGTTTTGGCCTCACGCGATCTCTCACTAGGGTGCCGAGCAAAGTGAATCTGCCTTCTTGGGCTTTCAGGATGGCCAATGCCCAGTGTGGAGGACTTATATGTTGACCATGTGACACTTGCCTTGCTGAATATTGACTGAAAACAGGGAAGAGAGAATGAATATACAAGTCACATGGACTGGGGGTGTGGGATGAGCGGGGAGGAATAGGAAGGATGTGGACATGGAAGAATCAGGATCTGAGACTTGTGTGGTGGTTGCCTTCTCCGGATGGGATGTGGGGAAGGAGGATGGTGGGAAGGAGAGGAGGTGGACATATGGGCCCTCCTGCCCTGCCAGGAATCTTCCCGCCCACCATACTTGTTTTCCAGATTTCCACCAAGCGCAAGGTTAACATTTACAACATTCTCCAGGAAATCATCCAGCAGGAGGGGGAGCTGGAGGAGCGATGTGTCCAGAGGCTGGTCGCCATTGCCTCCAAGGAGATGCGGGAGACCCCAGAGGTGGGAGGGCATGGGGATCCATCGGTGTTGTCCGTCAACCAGCCCAGGAGCTGGCTGGTTGGTGGCCTGGCCCTGTGCAGTTACCTCATGGGGCAGGACAAGCTGGGCCCAAAAGCCAAGTGGGCTGGAGAGAGCCAGGGGCAGGAGGGTTTCATGAGGCCCTGCTGGCAGTGGTGTCACACACCACTCTCCACCCCAGCAGATGGAGAACTATGTGAAGGCAGAGGTGGCCAGTGACACCCTGGTGGCTCTGTCCCGAAATCACTTCAGCTTGGTCATGTACGAGCTGCAGCATCACCTCAAGCCCCTCAACCTCACCGATGAATTTGTCATTGTTACCTTGGCCAAGCTGGCCAATGGCAATGGTAGGCACTCAGAGGTCGTCAGCCCAGGTCCTAGTCCCTTCCACCTGCCTCTCTCTGCCTTTCCTTCCCTGTCTCTGTGTTTGCCTCTGCCCCTCCCGGTCTATCTCTCTTCTCTGTCTCTTTTTCCTCTGGCATTTCTTCTTGATCTCCGCATGACTCTTTGTCACTCTCAGCTGTTAAGATTCTCTCTGTGTGTTTCTGCCTCTCATTTTCATCTTGTCTTTCCTCTCTCCCTCCATCTATCCTGCCCTCCCGTCCTCTTTCCCTCTCTCTCCTGTCTCCCCCTGCCTGCACTATACTGTTTGTGCTGTTTTCCCATCTTGCCTTCTCCCTTTATTTCCTGTCACCCTCCCTGTCATCCCATAAACATGTGCTGAGCCCCTGCTCCATGCAGGCCTTCTGGCAGTACCTGACCACAGCATTGAATGAGACCTGCCTGGCCGTTGCCCTCAGAAGGGACCATAAAGCAAATACAGAATTTGACGTTTCTGTGAGATGACAGCTCTCTCAGCTCAGAATGAGGGGAGGGGACCTCCTTTCTTCAAAGGCCTCAGTGATATTCAGCTGAGACCTACAGGATGTCTCTGAGAAGAATGGGACAGTGGAGAACATGCCACATGGCAGGAACATAGGGTGCAAAGGCAGAAAGACAGGGATGGGCTTGGTTTCTCTGAAGAACTGAGGCTGGCCTTGGGGAATCAGGGGAGATGGGTGTAAGATGAGACAGAGAGTAAGGGGAGGCCCCAGGGCCTTGGTGAGGAGTCTGCACTTGCTGTGGGAGCTGGAGGACGCCACTGAAGAACATTAAGCTGCAGACCATCCTGGTGATTATGTGCGGTGATGGCACATTGAGCAGAGGTGGTTGGCAGCTGTGTGGGTGAGACCTGCTGGGGAAGAGGGGGCCTGGGGGCAGGTGAAGGAGAGGAGGTGTGAAGCACCTGGGGTGCAGTAGGTTGTTTCTGGAATTTGGGGCTCAAGCAAAGAATTGCATTTTGTACATGCTGAGCTTCCCTCCCTTGTGAGAGGTCTGGGTGGAGAGGTAGTGTGAGCAGTTGACTTGTGGATACAGAGTTCTGAGGGCATGTCTGGTCCTGGCCTTTGGTCAGGGTGACCTCACAGTGTCAGGGATGTTCAAAGCCATTAGCACCCAAGAAGTGAGAGTAGAGAGGGGCCCAGCATTAAGGAGGCCCAGGAGGGTTGGAGGAGAACTCACTGGCAAGGGGGCAGTGGGGGCACCTCCCTGCCAGAGGATGGTAATTCAGAAGGGTGGAGGCATCAAGTTGGTCCAGTTCTCCTGAGGTGTCCAGTGAGCTGAGGCTGGAGAAGATGGGAGTAGGAGAGCCTCAAGACATACTGGGACAGGGCAGTGGTGTTCCCTGGCTCTGGAATGTTGGGGGCTGGAGGCACTGGGCAGCAGGATGTCCTCTGTGCCTTCCCCCTGTGATCTCTCCCCCACCCCACAGTGTTTGAGTTTATGCCGTACATGGGCATCACCCTGGCTACCATCTTCACGATGCTGAGGCTCGCCAATGAAGCCAAGATACGCCAGGTGATCTGTAGTGGTGCGTGTCCAACTTGGGCCTGCAGGTCTGGCCTGATCAGGTGCCACAGGGGGAAAGCAGGGTAGGGAACAGGTCGGGGGGGGTTGTTGAAAGAGGTGTGCTGTTTAATTGTTCCCAATAATTTTACTCAGTTGCCTGTTTTGATTGGCTTCTGACTAGGTCTCTGTGGGGAGCAAGGGAGTGAGACACAGTGGGTGCTTTGTTTGTTTGCAGTTTTGGTCAGGGTTGGTTTGAACCCACCACCTCTGGTATATGGGACCAGTGCTCTACTACTTTGAGCCACAGGCACCACAGTGGGTGCTTTTTAAAAGAGGTTAGAAACTGTCACTTGACTCCATTTAGCTTGCTCTGTACACAAGTCACTATGAAAGTTTTGAGACAGCCTGTGCCATGGTCCATTACTTCACTTCCAAGAAATAGTCGATAGTGTCCTTTCTGATTCACCTGGGCAAGTTGCAACCTTCTCAGTCCATGGGTATTGCTGGGATGGCTTCATTTCTCTCCATCTCCATGAATTTTATGTTTCTCAATTTTGTTTAACTCAAAACTTTCATAACGATCCTTGTAGCTGAGCATTTCAGGAGGCCAGGGAAGGGCAATGGGCATTCACAGGAGAGATAGGAAACTGTCTCTATTTTGGCCTTGACTTGGGCAGGTCTTTGGTGCTACTTAAATCTGATCACCTTCCTGGTGATCACTTAACCTTTCCCTGGGCTAAGACTCCCTGGTGCCTAAGAAGGCTCATGCCCAATGTGCTTGCTGCCCTCTGCAGTGAAATCCCTGGGATGCAGGTAGAGGTCTGCAAGGCCCTGCCCCTGACTATGTGCTCAACTCTCACACCCAGAGCTGTGGGGGTAATAGGGAGCTGTGAGTGGCTGGAAGGCACACAGCAAGCTGCTAGAGGCAGAGATGGGGGGGGTCCACCCAACAGGCTTTGTTTTGCTTCTGCTCCCTCCGGCTCCACCTGCATCTCTTCCTGCTGCTGATAGCCATGGAGACCTTCTGTGACACGGTGCAGTTTTACCTGCGGCACCTGGAGGACAGCGTGTACCCTGTGATGACTGAGGACCAGTTTGCCCTGAAGGTGTTCCCGATGTATTGCTACTTTGTGACTGTGTGGCTGAGGCAGCACAACCCAGAGGTGAGATGGGCCCTTCTTATAGTCCCTCTGGTCACAGCTCCCCAGCCTGTGGGGCCGGGAGATGCTGAGAGACCCTTGGGTCCAGCTTAATTCCCAGGACCCCAGAGCACAGTGACCTGATTTATGGCAGAGCTGGGAAACTTATGGATACTGAATGGCATGGACCTGCAAGCTTCACTTTTCAAGGCTGGCCTTGGGAAAGGCCCCTGTGGAGTTCTGGATGGGGGCGGGTGATCATTCTGAGAGCACTGGTCACATGCTGGGTGCCCTCCCTCCGTCTTACCTACAGGAGCTATTTCCATACCAACTCTATGTTGTAGGACTATTTTATTAACACAAAGGGTTTCCATGAGGAAACTGAGGCACAGAGCAGTAATGTGCCTTCTTGAGGCCACCCAGCTGATAAGTGGGACTTAGACCTGGCAGTCCAGCTACACTGCCTCAACCTTGCTGGATGAGGCCCCAAAGTTTCTTTTGAATTCCTTCCATCACTTGTCCTTTTATTCTGGAGATGTGGGTGAAATCATAGGCTTGCTGGGTGAGAGGACCTGGGACAATAAGTTAGAGAGCTCACTTCCTGTGGCAGGTGAAGCTGGGGGTCATCAAGTCCCTGAAGCCCATGCTGAAGCTCCTTCTGCCCAACGATGACCTGAGGGAACAGGTCTACGACTACATCCCCCTGCTGCTGGCGGAGTACCAGGGTGGAGTGGAGGCCCTGTTCATCACACAGGCAAGGCCCTGCCACGGCCCTGGGTGGGAGACCCAGGGAGTTTGCAGCTCCTATGTTGGGGGAAGCTGTCTCCTAAGTGGAAGGTGGGGATGTCAGATATTCTGGCATGGTGTCAGCAGATCTAACACCTATGGCCTGTGAAGGGCCGCAGAGCCCGGCATCTGTAGGGCTTATGGGAAACCAGCACTGTCATTTAGAAGGAGAGGACCAGGTTCTGAAAAGTCTTGGAGGCCATGGTGAGGTTGTGACCTTTGTGTCCATTTTTTAGGGTTGCTATAGCCTGTGGGAAACTCAAAACAACACAAATTTATTCTCATAGTTCTGGAGGTCAGAGGCTCAAAACCAGGTGTCACTGCCTTCTCAAGGCTCTGAGGCAGAAAGAATTCTTGTCCCTACCAGCTTCTTCTGGCCCCAGGTGTTCCTGTGGTAGTGGTGACATCACTCTAATCTCATCCTCCACTGTCACATGGCCTCCTCCTCTCTGATTCTGTGTCCTCTTTTCTTCTTGCAAGGACACCCACTTTCCATCCAGGATGACTTCACCTTGAGTTCCTTAACTAATTACACCTGCAAAGACTTGATTTCCCAATAAGGTCACATGCTCAGGTTCTGGGTGGACATGGATTTTGGGAGGACACCAGTCAATTCCTGACAGCCTTTGACCTGAACATGGCTGGGGCTGATGTGCTTCATAAGGGGTGACTTGTGTACAAATGGGGCACAGTCTTTAGCTATAAAAGCAAGTGGAGGAGAATGAATAAAACTGATTTAGAAACCATCTGTGGGTCATTCTGGCTAAAGAATAGGATTCCCTTCCAGGAAATAGGAGAGAAAGATGAAGAAGGCCTTGACTGCCACACTCCTGCCTAGCTAGCACTTCCTGGACCTTCCTGTGCATGGGATTGGCCTGGGAGCTGGGTGCAGTGGGAGCTGGGTGCAGTGCAAATGGGTGCAGTGGGGTCTGGGTACAGTGGGAATTGGTGCAGTGGGGTGGGTGCAGTGGCGGCTGGGTGCAGTGGGAGGGGTGTAGTGTAGGCTGGGTGCAGGACGGGGTGGGTGCAGTGCAGGCTGGTACAGTGGGGCTGGGTGCAGTGCAAGCTGGGTGCCCTGGAGGTGGGTGCAGTGGGGGCTGGATTCAGCAGGTGTGGGCTAGGCTCTTTCTTTCTAATCATCTCCCAGGGGATGCTTATCCCACTGGTCAAGGGGTCCACTGAGTAGCAAGGGACAGAGTTTGACCTTGAGTTGGCGGAAGGTCAACTACCACCATTTGCCCATCCCTTGCAGGTCTTGAGGCAGATCCTGGAAATGTCAGTCACCACCAATACCCCTGTGCCCCAAATGCAGCTACATACAATTTTCACAGAACTGCACATGCAGGTGAGGCCAGCAGGCCAGCTGTGCGAGGGCTTTCTGGGGATGGATCAGCAGGAAGAAGAAGCAGGCTGCTTCAGAAAGTCGCCTGATCCCCCACTCGACTCACTTGTGTGTCTCTGTGTCCCACTTGGGAGTGAGGCTGTGGTACCCATGTGGCCCCAGGCATGGGAGGCTGGGCTGTTCCTGCACTTGTGCCCTGTAAACTCTCCACCTCCCTGCACATCCCTCCCCAGGTGTGCACCAAGGTCCCGAGCCAGCATCAGTACAGCAACCAGAACCTGGCAGAGATAGTGCACTGCTTTGTGGCCCTGGGTGAGGCTCCTCTCCGGGTGCTCCCTGTCTGCCCCCAGATTTGTGGGGAGCCCTTGCCCCTCTGAGTGCTGGACCTGCTGTGGGCCCAGTGGGTATGACCAAAGTCATCCTTCCATCCTGCAGCTCGTTCCTACCCCAAGGAGCTGATGAAATTCTTCTTTAGCCAGATGGAGATGAGTAAGGAGGCCATCCGAGTTGGGACTCTGGCCCTGATCAGGGCAGTGGTGAGCGCAGATGGTGAGCAAAATGGGCAGGTGGGTGGGGGTTAGGGCAGGCTGGTTTCATGCAGGTCTGGGCGTTTGCTCCTTTTATAGAGAATCCTCAGTGGGCCAGGGGAATGAAGGTTCTCGATTACTTTATATTTTCTAACCTTGGACTAATCAGCCATGTGCTCCCCACCCAACATTTTGATTCTGAATGTCAAACTACTAATCTGAATCCTATCACTAACCTCCAAAGCTGGATCAAAGGCTGGATATAAGTCCTAAATGAGCACATGGGCATAATCCTAAGCCCCATGGATTCAATGTTAAACCTTAGTCTAACCCCCTGATTCTAATTCCTAAGCCCAAACTCTAAACCTAACTTTGATATCCAAAGGGAACCACTGTCCCTAACCAAGGCTAGTGCCCATCCTGTACCTTTGTGTAGATTTGAACAACCCCCCCACGCCGTTGGTAGCATGCATCCCTGTAGGAACATAATGGTTAGAAGATGGGGGCAACTCCCACTCAGCCCTAAAACCAGGTGCCTTTGTGCAGTGCACAACCTGGACAACTGTACAAAAAGGACCTTCCACTGACTTTAAAACTCTCTGTTAAAGACATGCAAATTTAAGTAACAATTTTTTAACTATCTGATAAACAGAGATAATAAAGATGATAGCTACAGTTGGCCTGGCCATTTTTCTGTAAAAGGCCAGATCGTAAAAACATTTTTAGCTTTATGGGCCATATAGTCTCTATAATAATTACTCAGCTCTGCTATTGTTGAGCAAAAGCAGCTGTATACTGCTGAACAGGCTGTGTTGTAGGAAGACTTTATAAAAGAGGCTTTGGGCTTGATTTAGCCTCCAGGCTATGCTTTGCTCCTTTCTAATCCAGGGTTACAAGAAATCAACCTCTAATAACTTCATTGACACAGTTGTAAGTCGATAAATGATTCTGGGTGCTCAATTGGATAGGGGCCAAAACATGGGCCTTACAATTGAAATTTTTGTCAGCTGTCTAAAGGGAATAATTGCCCAAAGGTAACTGGACAAAAATGTTCTGTGTAACTTTGTGTTAAAAGCAAAACATTTAAAAAAGCCTAAATGTTTTTCTAAAGGGAATTTGTAGGATAAATAATTTATCTGCATAACGGAAGATTATATATCCATTAAAAAGGGTATAATTGTCAGGGCATGGCGTCTCATGCCTGTAATCTCAGAACTTTGGGAGACAGAGGCAGGAGAATCACTTGAGGCCAGGAGTTTGAGACAAGCCTGGGCAACATAGTGAGACTCTGTCTCTACAAAAAAAAATAAGAAAAATTAGGTGGGAACAGTGCCACGTGTGTGTAATCCCAGCTACTCAGGGTGCTAAAGTAGGATGACTGCTTGAGCCTAGGAGTTGGCGGCTCCAGTGAACTATGATGACACTGCTGCACTCTATCCTGAGTAACAGAGTGAGAGTCAGGCTCAAAAAAAAAAAGGGGATTGACCTACACCTTTTGTGGAAAAACTGCCCTCTCTCTATTAATTGTAACATATTTCATAGGGTGACAGTGTTTACAGCATGACCCCAGTTATGTGAAAAAAATACATTTATTTATGCATGAACAGGTTTAGAAGGCCACACCTAACCTATTAAGAGTGGTTATTTTTATTTAAATTTTGAAATGAATATATACCATTTTTTAATAATCAGAAATGAAGTTTCCAAATTGTACCATGCTCCCTTAATGCCTGATCACCCTGCCACCTTAGGAACTTAGCAGCTTGACTTAGTAACACTGAATCCTGAGCGTGGCGTCCACTTGCGTGTCTAATTCTACCTGCATCCATACTGGACCTCTCCAGAACCTTCTCATGGCTCTGTCTCATCTCCTTATTCTTCCTCCTTCCTTGATTGGGTCTCCACTAGCAAATACTCAGTCAGCCCACTCAATGTTATACCATTCGCTGCTCACAGCAGCTCTATTATTATATCCACGTTTGGCAGGTGAGGAAACTGAGGTACAGAGGGCCTCAGTAGTTTACCTGAGGTCACACAGCTGGGGTGTGGTGAAGCCAAGATTTGAACCCAGGCAGCTTGACATCAGGACCCATGCTCTTCACAGCTGTGCTTGGCAGCCCCTGCATGCCCAGAGCTGTGTTCCCAGCTGCAGGGCACTAAGAGCTCTTAGGAGGAGACCCCGCCCTCAGGGAGCAGCCACTCTGCTTCTAATGAGGCACAGCAAAGCAATGGCCAAGGGGCAAGGCGGAACACAATAGCCCTCCACCCCTGGGTCAGTGGGGAGGGTGCTGCTGAGTGTATTGAGCCAGGAGAGCCTGGCCAGGCAGATGTCCAAGGAAGTGCCTCTGTGTTGAGGTTGTTGGGAGAGAGAACACAAGGCCATGGTGGGACAAGCCACCTGATGTATGTCTGAGCCACAGCCCTCCAGGCCGTTTTTCCTCTTTCAGAGCCCAGGATGAACATCAGGACTATCTACATGGCCATCCGGGTGGTCAAGAACACCCTCTCTGACACCCGATCCAAGGTGAAGGGCAGAGGGTGGAAGGAGAGGGTGCTCAGGGCACCTTGCTGGGGGACAGAGGGTGGCTCTGGCCACTGCCCAGCTCTATGGAGCTATACTTTGGTGGCCTTTGCAACACAATCTAGTTTGGGGTCTTGTTGGCATGGGGCTGAGGCTCTTTTCTCAAGTCCCCCCCCACACCCCAGGAGCTGGAGTGTTCTCTATGTGTCTCAGGTGCCCCCTTGGACAGAGGAGAGGCCGAGCAAACCGAGAGCTGCTCAGCTACTGAGGGGTTTTTGAGGTCTATATTGTATGTGAAAAAAGCAAATGAGGGGCACACCCCCTTCTTCCCACAAAAAGTCTGAAAACCACAGTCTCAGGCTCCATGGTAGCCGCAGCTGGAGTGAGACTGAAGAGTGCAGAAGAGGGAAGAAGGGCTGGGGCTACAGACAGCACAGCTGCCTTCCATACACAGCTGGGCTGTGGAGGGAGAGAAGGGGAAGCTTGCTCTGCACCTTACCCACGCCTGACTAGATCCCCGTGCCAGGGCTGCTGAGATGAAGCAGTACACATTAGAAGGGGGAGAGGGACCCTGTGTCTCTTCAAGGCTTCACTGTGGCTCTTGGAAGGGCATGCTATGCAATGGACCCCTGGGTGGGACTGGGGTGGCAGACAGAGTGGGAAATAGCTAGGTGGCCCCTTCTCACCTAGAGCACTCCTTATTCCCATCTGTCTCATGTCAGGATTGGGTGTCAGATGCCAATCCCCCTGCCCTGGAGCCCACCCAAACCCTGGCATGCCCACTGCGCTGTCCCCTCAGGTGAGGATGGCTATTCTCCGTATCATTGGTCAGTTGGCTCTATCTGGCTACCAGGAGAGGATCAAAGGCTGGGGCCTGAAGTATGTGTCTGTACAGCTGACTTTATCCACCTACAAACTGGTGAGTGACCCCAACATACATGCAGAGCATGAAGTAGCTGGCCTTTGGAAACGGGTTCCAAAGTGATGAGGGAGGGATGCCACTTAGTGCCCATGAGTCTGTGGCTGCACATCTGTCCCCAGGGTAAGTGCACAGACACACAGTGAGCCTGAAGGTAAGGATACGTGCAGTCCCACAAGCAAAAGACCCATGCGCAACTCTGAGCATCCTGGAGACCTAGTATCTGGGCATGGAGCCACTGAGGGGGTGAGGAGACCACATCTGAACCATGACAAGCCCCTGCCAGCCCACAAGTGGGAACCCCATGGTACTGTTTTCCAGACAAACCGCCGGGAGAACTTATGTCAGAGGGACTTGGAGGAAAAGATGGTCCACAAAGTCACTATGGACACTGTGAAGATTTTAACCTCTTCTGTCAGTGGGATGACCAATGTGAGTGGGCTCTGCTCACTTGCCATGCTGGGGCTGATGGATCCTGTCTTTAGGCTGAGGGCAGGAGAGCCAAGCATGCCCTTAATCCTGCACCTTTGCCTCTTCCATTCCCATTCTTCCTCTTTTGATTGCCTGCAAGAATTCAACACCCAGTTCCAACACCAGGTCCTTGATGGGAACTTACTTTTCATTTCTATGCCTCCAGAAGCCAGGGTAGTGCCTGGCATACAGTAGGTATTACTTGTTGCCCAAATGTGCCTATTACTTTTAGAGCTCCTTTAGTTCAGACAGGAGTGTATGTGTGTATAAAGAAGTGATTTTCATGGTCAAATTCTGTAAACATTCATCGAGTTCCTACCATGTGAACAGCATGACGATGTGCATGAAGAGGGCTCAGTACAACCCCCAGGAGTTTTCAGGATATAGAAGAAACAAATGCATCAATTTTGAAGGGCAATAAAATGTGATATAGCAATAAGATAGGAAAAATTTACTCTAAGAGCATCAAGGAGGAAATGAGGCCAAAGACTAGCTGTTTCCTGTCCAGTGGCAGCTTATTGTGATTCCAAAGACAGTGAAAATAAAAATCACAGCTGCATCCCAGGCAGCACTGCAGATAGCAGGCCCTGTGCTAGGTGTGCAGCATGTCCAATCCCAATTATCCCAACATGCTATGGGGCAGGTTCTCCTATTTTATTGTCCGATTTTGTAGATGAAGAAACTAAGGTCTAGAGGGACTCATTTGTTTGCTCAAGGCCTTACAACTGGTAAACAGTAGAGCCAGGATTAGAACACCCTTTCCTATTCATCATGCTGCCTTTCTGGGGGAACCCAGGAACTGGAGGAGTCTAATTCTGGCAACTGAAACAGGTCAGGCCACTGTGCTTGTTAGCTGGTAGCCCAAGAGCATCACTCTAAACTCCTAAGGATGTGAGTTAAGTAAAGGGGACCCACAATCCACTGGGGATGTTGAAGGCTCGTAAGGCCCTTCAACAGACCAGATGAGACCAGCCCATGTTGTTGAGAATCATCTCCTATGGTCTATGGACTTCTGTTGTATCTACAGGATACTTTCTTGGCAGTACCTGGATTATTCTTTGACTCAGTGCTGGGTACTTTCCCCTAACTGAAGTGACACATAAAACCAATCATCACAACTGGTAGGCTCAGTGGGACCATCTCCCCAGTGTACACTTGCAGAAGACTTGAGAGCAGAGGGAGGGCCTTGATGAAAATGATGGAGTGGGGTTGTTATGAGGCTGGCAGGGGCAGAAACTGGGCATAGTGCATTCTGGGCCTGGCAGGGACTGGCTTGTCATCACAACAGGGTCAAGGTGATGTAGATGCCCCTGACACAGACTGGGGTTGGTGGTGGAGCCAGTTCAGAGCTGAGGCTTCTGGTGATCAGGGGACACCTCTGAGGAACTGAGGCTGAGTTGAGTCCATGGGCTGACACTCTGCTTGGGTTGCTGGGACACTCCAGCTAATCCTGGATCTTCTCTCCCACCTGCACCCCAGGAGTTTTGGGTGAGGCTCCTGTGTTATATCATGGAGACAGACTACACAGAGGCCTTGACCCCCATCTGTATCAGCCTCACCAACCTGGCAGAACGTCAGCTCCACGGCGAGGATACAGAGGCTGGAATAGCGGGCAAGAGTAGGCATGGTGGGCAGCCTCCCTGAACCAACCAGGGGAATGAAGGTGGTTGTGTCATAATGTTCACCCTTGTGTCATAATGTTCAACCCACACACCCTCAACCCCCATTCCCCTACTCCTAGAAGCATCTGGAACCCTGCTAGACAGGTAAAATCTAAAGCTTACCTTTGTCATGTCTGAGGAGGTATTAGGATTGTGCACACTTCTCCCTGGTGGCCCATTATTCATGTCCCTACCCACCTGGCCTGTACCCCTGGTCCACACACCTGGCCCAGACCCCACCCTGGAGAGCTCCTGGCCCAGCCTCTCTCCAGCTGTGACCTTCCCAGCCTCTCTGAGCCAGCTGGAGGAGCTACAGCCATCCCATCTCCAACCTTGCAAGTCACCCCCACCAGAGGCCAGCTGGTGTGAGCACTGTCAACACCCATGTTTGGTACAGTCCCCCACCCTGGGTCCAGAGTTTCACAGGGATATGCATGGCTGGTGCAGAGGTGATTCAGGGAGGCCTCTAGCATCCAGAGACAGCAAATGGCACAGCCTTCTCTCTGAATTTGATCTGAGCAAGCCAGCCAGATGATACACTGAGGCCTTCTTTGTGCCCTGCTCACCCCACCCCTGGGGCTAAGTCCCCTCCCAGGCCCCTGAACCTCAACTTCTCTGCAGGCCTGTCCCAACCCCTGCTCATCTGTCCAAGCCTTTCCAGTTGGCATGGGCTCATTGACTTCCAAAGCCTGCAGAGAGAAAGGAGAAAGCACAGGGGTGTCTAATTACTGTTGGCTCAACAGAGGCCAAGATTCACAGTAGGAAACAAAACACTGTTGTGGCCTGTCCACTACGAAATGGGCATGGCCTGAAAACAGCACCTTTTAGACCTCAGCTGATGAGTGCAGTTCTTCCCTCTTTCTAGGATAAGTCAATTATGACATTTCTTCATAGAAAAATCCCTTTGCGACCCTGTTCTCCCTTGTGGTGGTGGGGCAATGAGATCTTGTTAAGGGAAGCACCTTCCAGGGCAAAGACTCCTTGAGGGCGGTTAGGGTATGGGGCCATATCCTGGTATGGGCTGGCAGCCTCTCTGAGGCTGTATCTCCTTCTTTCTCAGTGGACCTGCCTGCACCTCAGAAGTTGCTGGCCCGTCTTCTGGTGAGTAGCTGACCTGCACTACTGGGCCATGCCCTGTGGCACCTTTCCCCCCTTGAGCTCCTAATTCCAGAGCCCAAGGGTAGGAAGGACTCAGGGTACAATGAAGGAGTCAGACACTTGACAGGACAACTCCAACAGGACAGAGCAGTCCATGTCCTGTCATCCTTCTTGGGTAGATGTGTCAGGGGCCAAGCTCAAACCTGCTCCCAGACTCCTCTGTCCATAGTGTCTCTGGGGCACTGCCAATGGTTTGCCTACACCTGGGAGTGGGCTCAGTACTGGAGCCAGGAGTTGTCCTCTTCATGGTAACTGTGGATGCTAATCCACATTCCACTGAGGCCTGGGCTAGGGAGGGACCCTACCCTGGACCCATCACTTCCTCTCCTTCCTGCAGTGTCCTAGCAGGGGCTCCCCCTGGAAAGCCTGAGCTCTGTTTGCAACCACCCATCTTGCCCAGCTCCTCCTTTTGTAAGTGAACACAGTGAGCTCCACTAGAGCCTTGGTGCCCTTTAGGTGCTGATGTCATCACCCTACAAGGGGGAGGGCCGTGGGGTGGCCATGCTCAACCTCCTAAGGACCCTGAGCCAGAGCATTGCGCCCACCATGGCTGACATGTGGGAGCAGGAGATCCCACAGCTGGTCCAATACCTGGAAGGTGAGGTGCTGGGGGAACCCTCCCTGACTCAACCTTCCACTCTATTCCTGTGCTGGGGTCCTGATCATGTGGCTTGAACAACAAACACAAGAGCCAAGGCTCAGGGTGGACCCAGACAGCCTACTTTGGCTCTGAGAATGGCTGATCAGTTTGGAAAGGTGGGGCCAGAATGCAGTGTGTGGTGGGCTGGCTCTTGGATGTGTTCTGGATGATGCCAGACCAAGGAGGCTGACTCAGAGTTGGGGGCAGCAGGTGTAACCGTGCCTACATTCCTGCAGAGCACACTGAGTTCACTTGGAACCAGAAGGCCTGGGAGGACAAGCTAATTCAGGTAAGGGACCATTCTGCTGCACGGTGATGGAGGAGGGAGATGGGTAGTGGATGGCAGGACATTGCATGAGATTGGCATGTGAGGAGTTTAAGAGCCTCTAAAGGACGTGTTCTCCTGTCAAAGAAGATTTGGGGAGTACAAAGTCCATACTGTGTCTGTCAGTGGGGAGAACTGAGAGACCCTTCCACACAGGGGAGCCAAATGCTCAGGAAAGCAGCAAGCACTCTTCCTGCCACCCTCAGACCCACAGATCATTAGCACTGGGTCAGGGATCTATGAACTAAGCAATCTAGACATGGGGGAATGGGAAACCAGAGAGGACAAGTTGTTATTCAAGGTCACGCAGCATTCCTAAAGCCCAGGCAAGAAAGGGGCTAGGAGCCCTTATCCCCTACACATCAATGTCTTCTTCCTCCCCAGTTTCTGAGAAACTCCCTCAAGAAGACCCGGGGTTCCAGCTGGAGCCTGCGTCTGGGCAAAGAGCTGAGCAACCAGATCGAGAGCTTTGACAGCCCCTCTCTAGAGAAGGTTCATCTTCACAGGGCCAGGGCAGTATGGGCAGGGAGGAGACTCTAGGGAGGATAAACAGGGTCATGCTGTGTGTGTGAGGCCAGCTGGACCTGTAGCTATTTATAGGGTCCTGGGAGGAGAGGTGGGTAATCTGGATCAATAGTTATTAGTTTTTAGTTTAGTTTTTTTTTTTTTTTAATCTTCTTCATCCTCTAGATTCTGGGTCTTGATCACATACCTGTTTTTTTTGGTTTGATTTTTTTGTAAAAGTTTTTCCACAAAACTATAAAACATTTTTGGAAGAAATCAACAACAGGGTGGTGCCTATGGCTCAAAGGAGTAGGGCGCTGGCCCCATATACCAGAGGTGGTGAGTTCAAACTCAGCCCCAGCCAAAAACTGCAAAGAAATCAACAACAAAAAGCATCCCATGTTCATGGATTGAAGGACAATCTGGTTAAAATGGTGGTAGTTCCCAAATATATCTTTAGCTACAACATGATCCCTATCATAATCCCAGTTGTATCTTTTGATGTTTTTGCAGAGATTTATAAGTTGATCCTAAAATGCAAGGGGCCCAGAAAAGCCAACACAATTATGATAAAAATAAGCAAAGTCAAAGGACTCAAATTTCTTAACTTCTTATATAATTGTGGTAACATGACCGCATGGTACTGCCATAAGGATAGACAGTTAGATTGATGGAATAGAACTGAGAATCTAGAAATAAACCCTTACTTTCATGGTAAACAAGGGTGCCAAGACAATTCAATGGGGAAAGAAAGGCCTTTTTACAGATGGTGCTAGAATAGCTGGATATTCACATGCAAAAGTATAAAAATGGGCTTCTTCTTCACATCATGCATAAAAATAAAATCAGAAGAAAATGTAAGCCTAAATATAAGAGCTAAAGCTATAGAACTCTGAGAAAAAAACATTAAGTGTAATTCTTCATGACCTTAGGCTAAGCAAAGCCTTCTTAGATATGACACCAAAACCCAAAAATGACAAAAGAATAACAGATAAATTGAACATTATAAAAATGAAAGCCTCTTGCACCAAAAATAGTGAAGAAAGTGAAAAGACATCAAGAAAGTGAAAAGACAACCCACGGAATGGGAGAAAATATTTGAAAATCATATGTCTGTAAGTGACTTATTAATATACCTATGTCTACCTCTCTATATATTTTACAACTCATTAACTCATTAATAAAAAGACAAGCCAACTGAAAATGGACAAAGTCTGGGCCAAGTGCAGTGGCTCACGCCTATAATCCTAGCACTCTGGGAGGCCAAAGTGGGAGGATCCCTTGAGCTCAGGACTTTCAGTCCAGCCTGATTAAGAGTGAGACCCTGTCTCTACCAAAAATAGAAAAAATTAGCCAGGTGTTATGGTGGGCACCTGTGGTCCTTGCTACTCAGGAAGCCAAGATAGGAAGATCACTTGAACATAGGAGTTTGAGGTTGTTGTGAGTTAGGCTGAGCCCGCAACACTCCTGCCTAAGTGACAGAGTGAGACTCTTCCTCCCCGCAAAAAAGGAGTAAGTCTGTAAATAGATATTTCTTCAAAGACAGAAATGGCAAGTAAGTGCATGAAAAGATATTTTAAGATCATTACTCTTTTTGGTAGAGACAGCCTTACTCAGGGTGGTCTCCAGCTCCTGAGCTCAGGCAATCCACCTGACTCAGGCTTCCAGAGTGCTGTCTCTACCAAAAAGAGAAAAACTACTCAGGTGTTGTGGCAAGCAGCTGTAGTCTCAGCCACTTGGGAGGCTGAGGCAAGAGATCTCCGGACCCCAAGAGTTTGAGATTGCTGTGAGCTGTGATGAGGCCACGTCACTGTATCTAGGGTGACAGAGTGAGACTGTCTCAGAAAAAAATACACACATATATGTGTATGTATATATACATATATATATATCCTTCATAGTTTAGTCTGTAAAATAATGCAGTGTCTTGCAAATCTCTTCCATTAGCTAGACACTGTACATTTGTACATATAAGGTCCTAATGAGATGTTGAGTTAAGGCCCATTCCGAAGAAAGTTGTATATAGTTATTTCATAAGCAAATAGATGCAAGTAAACCATATTACAATAACTCACATAGCTTAAACAAGATTCAAAAAATTAATTTTTAAAATGGTTTTGTTGTCTCAGATAACTTCAAAGGCACAATTAGGCTTGGCAGCTTAAGGGACTCCTCAAGACTCTCCTCTCTTTTCCTCCCACGCTGGCATCCTTGGGGAGAGGGAATTGGCTGC